CAAATATCCCAATCAATAAATGGGCAAACAATCTAAATAGACATTTCTTAAAATAAGAAATACATATGGCCAAGAAATATATAAAAATACTACTCAACAACCTTAACAAACAGGGAGATGCAAATCAAAACTATACTGAGATATAATTTCATCCCAGTTAGAATGGCAATATTCAAGAACACAAATCATCATAATTGATGGTGAGGATTTGAGGAAAAATGTACACTCATGCATTCCTGATGGGACTGCAATTTAGTAAAACCACTTTGGGAGGCAGTTTGAAGATTCCTTAAAACCTAGGAATGGAACATTCCTATAATCCAGCTATCCCACTTGGTACTTATCCAAAAGAACTAAAATCAACATACTATAGGGACACGCATACCAATGTTTATATTACCACAATTCACAATAGTCAAGTAATGAAACATACATATGTGCCTGTCAACAGATGAATTAATAAACAAACTATGGTGTATATACACACAATGGAATTCTACTCAGTCATAAAGAAGAATAAAATTGTGTTGTTTTCTGGTAAAAGGATGGAAATGGGGAACATCATTCTAAGTCAATTAAGTCAGACTCAGAAATTCCAAGGTTGAATGTTTTCTCTCATATGCAGAATCTATGAAGAAATAAGGAATTTGCAAGGGGTGGGGAATTTCATGAAAATGTAAGGGTGTACAGTGGAGTAAAAGAAGGGGTTGTATGTTAGAAAGAAGGGATGGGAAAAGGGAGGAATTGAACAATGAATCTGACCAAGTTGTGTTATGTACATGTATGCATATATCCCAGTGAAATCCACTTCAATATATAAATATAATGCACAAATTAAAAAATAAATAGAAGAATGATCAATAAAGTCAATGAAGGAGAAGTAAAGGAATGAGGGGAAGCAAAGGATACATCAAGTACTGCATATTGCTATGGAACCAATTATGTTATATGCATTTTTGAAAGTGTCAAAATGATCCCCACTACTATGTGAAAGTATAATACACTAATAAATAAACATAAAAAGAAAGATGTATCATATGTTACAACATGAGCAAATCTTTATGACATTATGTTAATTGAAATAAGCCAGTTATATAAAGACAAATACAGTTTAATTCCATTTATATGAGGCATCAAATATAATCAAACTCATTGAAAGTAGAATAGTGATTTCAGAGGCTAGAAAAGGGAGAAAATGGAGAGTTGCTATTTTGTGCATGTAGATTTTCAGTCATACAGGATGGGGGAAGTTCTTGGGATGTGTTGTACAACACCATGCATGTGGTTGAAAATCCTATACACTTGGAAATTGTTAGGGTAAATTTTTTATGATAATTTTTTCACAATAAGGAAAGTAGATAAAAAAATCAAGTAGTAAAGGTCAAATATACAGAGTATTTTCTGTGAAATACAGAGGTTTAAATTGGGTTGAGATGGTCTAATTACAACCTGAACTTAAGTAACAATGTCACTGAGTGCAATGTCATTGAGATGGACAAGGAGGTCAGACTTAGAACCAATGTGGAGGGAACATTGGACTTACAAAGTACTTTTGTGAGGATTAAGAAGAGAAATCTGTTTTTATAAAATGACTGAGGTGTTAAGCATTGGTAATAGGGAAAGGTGGACAGTTATCCAAGATAAGGAAGACTGGAGAGAAAATCTACTTGGGGTACAGAAAAGAAGAGAAAGAAAATGCTGGGCAAGGTTAATTAACAAATTCATTATTAATTCATGTTGAAGTATAGCATACATACTTAAATAATGAAGTACATTAATATTAAGTGATTTTCACATTTATACACATACTTGAAATATAATCCAGGTCACTAAAATCTTTCCAGCATTTCACAAAGTTTCTACATACATGTCTGTTTCCATTTAACAGTCATTCATCCCTCCCACTGAATTTTGAGTTAGGGCAATTTTATATCTCTCGTTTATTAAATGAATATTTACTAAGCAAACAATAGTGCCAGAAAAAAGCATGAGTATAGACCCAAAAGGAATAGGCTCAATTGCTTTCTTATCACTAAATGGTCATCCCTGGTCTAGAACTAGTGTAACATTCCTTAGTTTGCTAAGCATAAAAGTCACCTCAAACTATTGTTTAAAATGCATATTTAGTAGATCCTCCCCCCCACACTTTAATTTGTCACCTTAGAGTGGGGTCCTGTAATATCATTGTTAGCAAAGGTCCCAGCTTATTTTCTAGCAGGTGGTATGGCAGGACCACACCGGGAATTACTGTCCCACTGAGTGGAACAATAAGGCCATGTAGCCCCTGCTAAAGATTCTAGATACAATCCTTTAGATTTTTGAAAATACTAGAGCATGAACAAAAGAATGACAGTCATGACTTATGTATTTGGAGATGTCTGTGGAGGCAGAGTGGGAAAAGGATGGATTCAAAGAAGGAAAACTGGCTGCAAGGAGGTCATTTGCTTGAAGACCATTGCAATGCTTCCCTAAGTGGGCGGGGGGCGAGGTGTGAGAAGAAGAAGACAGGCTCAAAAGGCATTTAAAAGTACCCTCAAAGTCCTTGTGAATATTTAGATGTGCATGTGTATGTGGGGGGAGGTGAAGATGAACATAGAGGATAGAGAAGAGGTAACTGGTTGTCTTTGACAATGTAGATGAAAGTTTCAGTGAGACCTTAAAGCAGCCCTGACCTGATGATTACTATCCACATATTCTCAAAGATCCAGACTCTCAAAGATGCAGACCTCGTGGCTTCTAGGAACTCAGTCCCAAAAACACCCTTCCTGCTGGGGAATTAATTAGTGTTTTCTCAACTAAATGCAAAATATTACTAGTTGGGGTAAAGCAAAATAAAACAAAACAAATTTCTTGTGATTGAGACTGTGCAGTAAGCCTAGGAGAGGAGTGGAATGAAGACTAGTTGTTGCCAAGTATTTATTCCAACTCGTTTTGTCACAAAATTTTTAGTGCTAGCAGCTAAGGGGTGATGCAAATGGGATGTGACAAGCAGAGGTTGTCTCAGCCCCTGATGTCCAATGTATCAACTTCTTAGGACAGCTATGAAGAGTAAGAACCAACCTGTAGATAGGAATTCCATGCCTCATCCAATTTATGGCTTTTTTTTTTTTTAGACCCAACAAAGATGGCCCAAATGAGGGTTCAGTGGCAACATGTATCTCATTATATATTACAATTTGGGAACTTGAGGCAGGTTGTTCCCAAGTTCCTGGACAGCCTCAGAAACTTAGGGAGACCCCATTGCAAAATAAAAAGTAAAAAGGACTGGGGATATTGTTCAGTAGTAAAGCTCTCTTGGGTTTAATTCCCAGCTATTTAAAAAAAAGAAAAAGAAAAAAGAAAACCTGCTTTATTTTCACAATACTGAGAAATTCCCCCCAAATCAAAGCAACCTGATTGCTTACATTTTTTACTTATCTAGAAATAGCAGCATCTCTCCACAGTGTCACAGGGACTGAAGAGAGTATCAGAGTGAGATTACAACAGAGCCAAGCGATGCACAGCATAATCCTTTTCCCACTTCTTGTGTATAAGGTGCATGTGTCTCCAAGGTGCCATGAGTAGAACACAGAAGTTGAATGATGATACCCGCTTTTTTTCTTTTTTAACAATATTGATGGTGAAGGCATAACAACAACAACAAAAACAAAGGAGAATACAGGTGAGTAAGATGTATTTTTTATTTAGGAATCCTTTACTTCTACTTCCTAACTTGCATTTTACATTCAAATTGGAAAATGGGATGAATGTACCACTTCTTGAAAAATGTTTCCTGTTTCAGATATATAGCTGCCATAGCTGTCAGCATTTGGCTTTGCCATCTGTCGCTTGTCACAGAAATTCAAAACTCTTCTATGTGAACCTTGCTTAACTGCAATTCACTTAAAACAATTCTAAATATGAAGGATTATTTAATTTAGCAGCAAACTCAGCCTATGGGCCAGGAAATTTCAAAATAAAAAAAATTGGAGAACTGATATTATTATGCCTGCCATCTTGATGATGCTTAGTTTTCTTACTGTATGCATTTGGGTAAACTCCAGAAATGAGCAAATGTTTAAGCAAAAAAGAAATCATTACTGAACAGCATGCTGAAATTCTAACATCTAAAAATTAAACAAGCCATTAAGCATAGATGGTCTCATCATGAACACACCAGTCATGGCCATGAACATGGTGGAAAAGGAGCAAACACAGGTATTGCCTCCTGGGAAGAACAGGCACTACTGGAGCTGATACAGTTGCATGCTCTGGGGGTCATCTTGTCTGGTAATTGGAACTTTGATCTGGAAAGGTGGCAGTGGACCTCAGGGATACTCAGGAAGGCAGATAGTACAGTTGGAAAGGGTAAAGGAATCCAGGGGAACACAGATGCTTAGATGAACAGCTTTTACATGAAGGTCCCTGGCAGACAAGCAGAACACAGTGACAGGGAATTCAGGAACAGAATTACCCAAACAGAATAAGAAATTTCTCCAAATCTTGTTTTCCTTTCTAATTTTTTTTTTCGGGGCACAGTAAAAAATAGTTTAGTTTTCTCTCCTTCTACTTCCTTTACACTCCAGGTTTTGCTGACTATTCGCATATACTGAGTTTTCTTTTCATACAAGGACTATGTCGATACCCTAAATTGCCCTTCTGGACATTCTAGTTAGTATTACCTTTATATTTTGTTATGTTCTTTAACAAATCATATGCCCTTTCCAACTGCAAAACTAAGAATATTGGTGCATTATTTAGGAAAAAAACATTAGAGCAGTATATAATGGGATATTAAAAATTGATTCCAGGTGATGGTGACGTGACAGTCATAGAATAGAGACATAGGTAAATTTCTGCATGATAGATTTTTACCAATTGAAGCTGAGTCTTGGTTAATGAATTTAAACATGACAGCCTAAGGTTTCTCTTTGTCCTAGCACATTTCAATAATCAGCAATTAATTCATTCTAATGTTTTCCCATCCTTTTCTTTCCCAATCTAAACATTTAGTCATATATTTACCCCTAAATATGCAAATAAACACTGAAATTCCATCTCAAGGGTTCTGCAAACATACTTCTTCCAATTCAAACTATGCAGAGCCAAGATCAGCCTCGGCATCAGCAACCAGAACTCTGCTCCTTCATCAAACTCACTTTGCAAAAATCCTATGTGTCTTTAGCTTTCCTACCTAACACTCATTGTTCTTTCCCCCAAAATTTCTCTTTGCATTTTATTAATATGAAGCAACTTGTGCACTTACCATCAAAAAGGCTTTGCACACTCATGCAGGTTTTTTTTTTTACACACCTAAGTATTCTGCCCCCTCATCCCTATCTAATTTTTTTCTTCATCTCTTTCCAATATGGCATTACCTGCTCTGTTTGGAACTAGATATTTGGCAATTATAGAAGGTATGTTATTAACTCTGCCAGCTGCTTCATCACCTGCACTCACTGCAAGCCAATTTTAAAAATCTTTGTTCTTGGATATTCTGCTTATTCTAATTAGAGAGCTTATCATAGGGCTGCAGCAAAATTCTGTTTTGACAATGATCTTCCCCTCCTTACTTCTATAATATAAAGTAAGGAATAAAATGTGTTTCAGAATACCAATCTCCATGCCTCTTAATATTATTTTTCTTAGGATATGTTAATTCATGGTGTCACTTAGTATACCCAAGACCTTTCTTCTGGATCTTCATAAATATATGTATGAAACTGTTTAAAAACCCTGGACATTGAATAAAGTGTCTAGGGAGGCACATAGTATCAGTTGTTTTCAAAAAGGGAAAGCAGAAAAAAAAAAGCTTTGCTAGCTGCTTTTTATCCACTTTTAGCCTGTTTTATTTAAGAGATCTCTTTTTTACTCATATATTTCCAACTTACATGTAATTGGATAGGAAACTGAAGGAGATAACAAAAGCAGTTGCTGTTGAAGAGTACTTAATTTATAGTGTTGTACCAGGCAACAAAGGATAGAAGTATTACTGATAGACAGAAGTCGTACATTCCAGGCACTACTAATCCCAGAAGCTTTTTGGCTTGAATTTCTTTCTAAAGTTAAAAAAAAAAAAAGTCTAGATTTCCTTCAAACTAAGCCTACCTATCAATACACTAACTATATTTAATATATTAATTATTTCTATTCGTTTATTCATCAATCCATTCACTTAATGATTCATCCATTTATCTATTCATTCAACAAATATTTACCAAATCCCACTCAAAGAGTTGTGATAAATGCTTAAGGCATACATAAAAGTAAATCTCTATTCACAATAATCCATAAGTTATTATGGGAACCAGATAAGCAACTAGTCAATAAACTATGTGATGAGCACTATAAGCACTATAAATGAAGTTAGGGATGGTTCCTTTTTCAAGGGTTAAAAGTTGCACAATTGTGAAATTTATGATAAGGTATTCAGTAACATACATTTTTTTCCTGGAAACATTGCACTAAGCAACTTAATATTGGAAAAATCTGTGTAGTAACTAAGTTTTTGGAAAGGTGGAAGTAATACTTAGAAGTATTGTCACTGTGAATTATTGCATGACATTATATGCCGGCAACATGACAGGCATAGTTACTAAAATAACCATCGTGAGCCAATTATTGTAATTACCTTTCCATGGCCAGATACATTCATAGTAGTCAAAGGAAATGGAGTTGGTCTAAGAAGGTTGCAAAACTGTAAGAAGTAGGGGAAATAATCTCAATTGAGCATTGATACAGGATAAAGGGAGTTGGATGAATGAGCAATTTAATCACACAGTTCTTTTTGTGCTTTGCTTTATTTTTGTTTTTATTTTTTGTTTTTTATGGTAGAAGATCATGGGCTTAAGGAAATGAACGAAAGAGACACAAAGTCTTATATATATTTATATACCTATGTACATATAAATATGTATATTTACGTGTGTGTACATGTATAAAAATATATATATTTATATATACGTAAATATATATGGGTACATGTGTATTTTCTCTCTCTCTCTCTCTCTATATATATATATATATATATAGATAGATAGATAGATATATACATACATATATATTTTTTTTTCCTTGAAGTCTTTGTTCTGCTTCACCAGAAAGGCACTACCTCTCTCAAAAAAAAAAAAAAGATATATATATAATGAGACTCAGAGAAGTCCTCAAATAAAATCTCCAGATTTGAACTTTTTTCTTTCAGCCAAATATATATTTGTTAAAAATTCATATGAAGTCTAATGAATTTACTTCAGGACTTCTCTGAAACTCCTTAGAACTTTTTTTTATGAGACTGGGATTTCCTATCTGGTGAAGCAGAACAAAGACTTGAAAAAGACTTGAAAAAGCTGTGCCATGGATAATTTTTAATTAACTTTGACAGCAATAAAAAGCACAGTTAACTTCAGATAGAGCCCTAATATCCAGAGTATACAAAGAACTCAAATAATTAGACAATAAGATAACAAATAACTCAATCAACAAATGGGCCAAGGACCTGAACAGACACTTCTCTGAGGAGGACATACAATCAATCAACAAGTACATGAAAAAATGCTCACCATCGCTAGCAGTCAGAGAAATGCAAATCAAAACCACCCTAAGATACCATCTCACTCCAGTAAGATTGGCAACCATTATGAAGTCAAACAACAACAAGTGCTGGCGAGGATGTGGGGAAAAGGGTACTCTTGTACATTGCTGGTGGGACTGCAAATTGGTGCAGCCAATTTGGAAAGCAGTATGGAGATTTCTTGGAAAGCTGGGAATGAAACCACCATTTGACCCAGCTATTCCCCTTCTTGGTCTATTCTCTAAAGACCTAAAAAGAGCATGCTACAGGGACACTGCTACATTGATGTTCATAGCAGCACAATTCACAATAGCAAGACTGTGGAAACAACCTAGATGCCCTTCAATAGACAAATGGATAAAAAAAATGTGGCATTTATACACAATGGAGTATTACTCTGCATTAAAAAATGACAAAATCATAGAATTTGGAGGGAAATGGCTGGCATTAGAGCAGATTATGCTAAGTGAAGCCAGCCTATCCCTAAAAAACAAATGCCAAATGTCTTCTTTGATATAAGGAGAGTAACTAAGAACAGAGTAGGGACGAAGAGCATGAGAAGAAGATTAACATTAATCAGGGATGAGAGGTGGGAGAGAAAGGGAGAGAGAAGGGAAATTGCATGGAAATGGAAGGAGACCCTCAGGGTTATACAAAATTACATACAAGAGGAAGTGAGGGGAAAAAAAAAAATAATACAAGGGGGAGAAATGAATTACAGTAGAGGGGGTAGAGAGAGAAGAGGGGAGGAGAGGGGAGGGGAGGGGGGATAGTAGAGGATAGGAAAAGCAGCAGAATACAACAGACACTAGTATGGCAATATGTAAATTAATGGAAGTGTAACTGATGTGATTCTGCAATTAAAAAAAAAAGCGCAGTTAAGAGCTTAAAATGTAGGTTTCTTACTAGTAAACCAAGGGTGAGCCAAGATGCTTGGACTTTCTAGTACCTAAGAGCACCATGTAAAGACAAGAGAATATTTGGGGAATTTACAAAAAGCTAAGCTGAAGAAATATGTGAAAACCATAGAATTATTGGCATATATTTTTATTTACACAATTACTTATATTTATGCCAGTCTTGCTCAAATACTGAATCTAGACTTAAACATA